TGCACATTCATGACACTTAACCCAAAGCCCATAAACCATGTGGGTGTTTGGCTGGTGCTCTGGTGTGGTTTGCTCCTTCCTTCCTATCAAACACCTATCGTCCTGATCTGTCCTCCCTTTTCTTTGTGTTTGTTACTCTTTTAAAGTACATCTTTCTGTTCTTTTTTAACACCTAATTGGTGCTAGGTTCACAGCATTTCAACAACTGGTGCTCGGTTAGCTTAATTGATATCATGCTGGACTACATGACGGAGACTCCTTCTTTTCTATCAAACACCTATCCTCTTTATCTCTCGTCCTTCTTTCCTATCAAATACCTATCGTCCTCCTTCTTTCCTATCAAACTCCTATCCTCTTTATCTCTCCTCCTTCTTTCCTATCAAACTCCTATCGTCTTTATCTCTCCTCCTTCTTTCATATCAATCACCTATCGTCTTTATCTCTCCTCCTTCTTTCCTATCAAACACCTATCGTCTTTATCTCTCCTCCTTTCCTATCACACACCTATCGTCTTTATCTCTCCTTTTCTGTCAAAGTCCTATTTTCTTTATCTCTCCTCCTTTCTTGTCAAACAAGTATCATCTTTATCTCTCAGGGTTTCCTATCACTCACCTATCGTCTTTATCTCTCCTCCTTCTTTCCTGTCAAACTCCTATCGTCTTTATCTCTCCTTCTTTCCTATCAAACATGTATCGTCTTTATCTCTCCTCCTTTTCTTTGTATTTTAATATCTAGTAACACCACTAATCTTCGGCGCTTATATGACCTAATTGTGATGTTAGTGCCGTAATACGCTCTCAGAAACAAAACCATAAACCATGATGTATATTCTAAACTTTCTTTGTGCTTGCTACAGACTGCAGCCGCGGACAGAGAGATTTCTCAAGGCTCTTCTTAGCCAGGGATGTAACACGCGGGCCGCATTGGCGAAAGTGTGGGAGACAAGTCCAAAGTGTAAGAACTTGCTACTCCTTTTTTTAGAAACACAGTTCTGTTTTGCTTTTTCTCTCTACTAGCACTAGATGTGAATAGTTCTTTAGGAGTCGAAGCGCTGAGCTCATGAGTTTTGGATTTTTGATTTGTTTGTCTTTGAGGGGTGGGGGGTTGGTGATATGCTCTTTTTACGTTACTTTTTCAGCACAACTGTTATTGTATCTGTTCCTAGGTCCATATCCCAAATTTCATAATTAGTGAGCTGACCTATGCAACCTTACCCTAACTATAGTTTTGAAATAGGTGTGTGAGTGGTTGGCGGGTGCTCTGATATGGTTTGCTCCTTCTTTCCTATCAAACATGTGTCTTGCATATCTTTCCTCTTTCTTTTTCTTTTGTATGTTACTCTCTAGAGTAACACCTAATCTTCAGCCGTTTTATGACGTATTTGTATTGTAAAGGTTGTAAAATTCTAACTTAAACTAAAACGAAAGGGGTGTTAACCTCCCATACCGTCATTTCATCAAATTTAAACGCTACCAAACCTTTCTTTTACCTCCACAGTTCTGCAGCGGGAATACCTGGAGTGGGTCAAGGAGTCTGAGCATGCCGAGGTCATGACCTCTTGGCCTCCTACGTGATATGGGAAGATCCACTAGACTGGAATGAGATTGAGATGTACAGTCGAAATTGTCCATGACTGACCACCCTTTTGTCAAAGAGAAAAGAAGTTGTCTCAGACAAATGGACGTCTTGGACAGTTTCATAATAATATTACACCCCCCTACCCTCCCCTGCCCAAAGCAAAAACAAGAACGTAAAGGGGAAATGGGAAGTGGTCGTTTGTACAGGTGATTGTTTTAGACAGGTGGCCGTTTGAGCTCGCTTGAATGTACTATAATGTAGTCTATAAGAAAATTGGGTTTTTTTGTTCGCAAGCATATCTTATTTTCAAGAGCTCTGTGTGATGAAGGTCACCCATGAAAGTTATGAGTCTAGAAAATAAATTCTTCAGTAAGTGTAATTGGTCTTTCTGTACTATCGGAAAACTTCAAAAGGCAAAAGGTCGTGCATACTTCGTGGAAACTATATGTTTGTGGTATTAGTATTCCTTTTAATAAATGTTAAAAAAATTAGACACTTCTGAAAAAAGTGCACTATTTTAACTGTTTATGCATAAATTATATGACAAGTTGATGACGTCGGCTCACTGGATTAAGTGGAATAAAATGAATATTCATTAACTTTTTGTTTTTGTCCACTTTGTTGTGTATTGTGATTGTTTAGGAATTACAAAGTGGGGTTAAGTGGGTGGCTGGTGGGTGCTCTGGTGTAGTCTGCTCCTTCTTTTCTATTAAACATCTATCATTCTTATCGCT